TGCGCCGGAGGGGCGCCAGGCCCGATCGCCGTGGATTGAGAGGAGACACTGAACCGTATGTAACGGTGATCAGACAGCGTCTCCTCCCCGTCCAACACCTCCCAGTCGACGATGCGGCGCGCAAGCCCGGGGCTGGCAAAGGTAAGGTCCACTATGGACCCCCCCTGCATGCGGACGCACGTCTGCGTCGAGCCCCGGTTCACGAGCGCCAGGTTGTGCGCGGCCATCCACTCCACAAGGACGTCGCCACGAACATCCGAGGTTGGGGAACCCCACACTGCCGATTTGGCATTGAAGTCCCCCGCCACGACCACCTCATTCGGGCGACTCCACTGCACAAGGGCATCCACTTCCGCCAGGAACCCCTCGAACTCCGAGAGAGTCCTGTTGGGCGAGAAGTAGACCCCCACAACCGTGATGTGGCCGCACTTCACTGCAGCACAACCCTGGCCTCTCCGTGAAGAGACAATTGGGGGAGAGCCACCGGCTCCGGTGACGACAATGGCGACAGTTTCGCCAATGTCCCCGACCCAATTGTCCCCTTGCTGCACCGCGTATGGCTCCGCAATCACCGCGATGTTTATGGACCACTGCGCCAGGCCCTGGAATAGAAGATCCTGGGCCCTGGCGCAATGATTCAGGTTCGCCTGGAGGAACCGTAGGGCCATACTAGGCCCCTACGGTCTCGGCAACCTCCATCGCGGTCCCGCTCGGAGGGACGGCGGCCCGCTTCTCCGGGACTCTCCGCCGCATCTTTTTGGTGGGGGCCGAGCACTTGGCACCACCCACCCGATGGTTTGCCTCTTTGCCAGCCGCTGCGCAAACCGCGCAATGCGGGCTGGCCGAACACGAGGCCGCCAAGTGCCCAGGCTGACCGCACCTGTAGCAAAGACCGCTACGATCGCTCGCGCAATCGCAACGGCTCGCCACATGGCCAGCCTCCAGGCAACGGTAGCAGCGAAGCGCCCTGGGTTTTCCCAGAGTCACTCTCGCCGCCACCCAACCCACCAAAAGTCTGCCCTCCAGCAGCTTCTTTGCGGAGCCAACGGGGACATGCGCCCAAAGGGCGCCAAGCCCCGTGCGATCCCGCCGGATGTCGCCGACTCGCACCTGCCAGGGAGAACACTCTCCCTTTTTGGCAACAGCAGCCGCCACCTCCTCCTTTGTGACGGAGTCATCCAGGCCCGAGAGCCTGACGTCGACCGCTTTCTGCGGCCGCGTCACCTTGACGACTCCGCCGTCGAAGATCTCCCCGAGCTTGCTCGCGAGAGCATCCGCCTTTGTGCTACTCGCGGCTCCGGGGAGCTGGAGAATGGTGGCTCCAGTCGCCGCCTTCCTGACTTTTAGACCCTCAAGGCCTGTGATAGCCTTGAGGTCCAACTTCTCCCTGGCCTTCCGGAGGACGTCACTGTAGGAGAGTCCCTCCTTGGACCCCTCCTCAGTGACCGTCAGGACGACAGCCGACGACCGAGGAACCCGAAGTTTCGGCTTTTTAGCCGGTTGAGGGCCGGATGCCTTCCCGGCCCTCCTCCTCGGACGCGACTGTCCCTCCTTTTCCTTAGCTCCAGGAGCTTGCCGAGCTCGTGGACGCATCGGCAACTCCCGGGGCGCCTCCTTGCGAGCCGGCTTCTTCTTCCTGGCCACCGTTACCCAGCCTCCCTCCAGGGAGTCCGGGTTCGGCAGCCTCGCCGGGGATCGCCCTCGGACGGGGGCATCGGGGACGGAAGAGCGGGTCGCGGCAGAAGTGGATAGAACCACCCTACCCGGACCCTTTGGTCCCTTCTTCTTCGCCGCCGCAGCGGCCGCAGGAGGGTCCCTGCCTCTTCCGTCTGCCGCCAATGGCGGCCTGAGTCTGGGCGCGGGGTTCAACCGAGGCTCGAGTCCTTCGAACCTCGCGTTGATGCGTTCCCCTATCTTCCGCAGAAGCCCCGCCTCAAACTCCTCCATGTTGTCGGGGAGCCGAGAGGACTTCTGCAGGTCCTCCACCTGGCGCGCCAATTGCTCCAGCTGCTCCCGGAGCCGCTGGTTTTCGGCGCGCAGAGCCCTCGTCTCCTCACTAACTGTCCTCTGGATGAGGACGGACGAGTTCTCCCTGATGGACGCCACTGCATCCCCCAGAGCGCGGACAAAGGTCCCCTTGAGGTTCCGGGACCCCTTTGCCACGCTCTGAATCACGCCCAGACTCTCCTCGATGCCCCTTAGTGCGTCCGAGGCGGAACGAGGCGCGGAGACACAGGTGCCTGCCATGTCTCCCTCGTCCCACGCGAGCGACGCCACAGAAGAAGGCCGCGTTGATCGGGCCTCCGAGACAGAAGCCATGAGTTCAGCCTCTGCCTGGAGCCGGACCTCCTCCTTACGGGCCTCATTGAGGGCCTTTTTAGCGGCCGCCAACCCGACGTACTCGCCAGTGGTTGGCGGACGCCCTCTTGGCCGCTTTCCAGCAGCCTTTTTCGCGACAGAGAGAGGGGTGTCTGTGGAAGACCCATCCCCCTGCGAATTCCTTTCCTCCTGTGGTCGTTTCCGCTTCTGGCGCCAGAAGCGGCTCGACTCACCTGTTTCTCCGACCGGACCAACCGAGGCAGCGGACGACACGCTGACAAGGTCGGAATCCGTATCGGAAAGATTTAGCGAGGCCCTGGAAGACCCCGCACTACGACTGGCCCTTGACAAGGATGACGCTGACAATCTTGTCAGCACCACCCTGGGCCCTCTCCTCACTCCTTCTTCTACCTCCTTCTCTCCTTCTTCCTCACTCCCACTATTCCTATTTAATGTTTTTTGTTTTTGTTTATCACCTTCCATACTTCAATTTCATAAAACAAATGTTGCGCCTCGCTACAAGGCGCAACGGCATTTCTTTTGTTTTGAGGGAAATGCTAAGTCCACCCGGGCAGAGCCCTGTACCCGGGTAACCCTAATACAACTGGCGGTCGGGCGGTCGCCAGAGGTTGGCCGCTAGCTGGCCCGGTTACTGCCGGACCACCCACTCACCCTGCGGGCAAGCGGGGGCGCGGTGCCGCGCAGAGGTCCGAAGACGCCCCAACACCACGCAAAATTCAGGGTTTTTTCTGAGGTTTTCCTTCCTCTTGGGCCGGCCGATTAAGGCAAGCCCCCCTGGTCCCAGATGCGCGGCGAGACATGATCCACGACACGCACCCGGGGAAACAGGTTTGCCCGACGGAGGGCCGAAACCCCTAACCAGGCGCAGCACATCGCCACGCCCGGCCCGCCGCGCCGCGGTCCACCACTACCGCCGTCCGTGGTGTCCTCACCACCATACCACGCCATAAAGGCCGCCGGTCACAACTGACCTCTCCTCCCGTGCTCGGAGGCACGCTCGCAGCGCTCTGAGGTGAGCGCTGCGTCTCCTTGATCGGTCTCCGCGTCGTCTTCGGAGACCGACCGATGGATCCAATTAGCTTCGTCGTGCAATAGTGGCCAGAATCGGCAGACCCACAGACAGTCTGTTGCCGATTAGGCACCTGGCCACTATAATAAGCACCGACTACTGAGCCCCCCCGCCGCGACAAGGCCTGGATCATGGGGGGGTCTACATTTATTAACTAGAGTATCTTTTTTTGAAACCCGTTTTTATCTTACATAATTTTACGTTAGACAGGTCTTCCTGTCTCTAAGGCATAGCAATAATACTACATATTACTTGAAGATTTACAACATTTTCTTATATACATTAAAAAGAAGCCATAGATTCATAAATACATACAGCCTCTATTCAGCCTATAAGATCCAAGTGTAATGAACACACGACTTATAAATTTGTGAGATACTTACCTACGTATGTGTAGATATGTATTATATAAAATAACCTTGTTGGCCTTAGAATTAAAAAAAGCCTTCTGTGTCATCTACCAACATTCATTTGGACACTGTGGTAGTTTAAAGTATATTCATACTGTCTATAGTTTACGCGAGTAGTACACATTTAAATAAAACACTTTAACGGTTGAAAACGCGATATATTAGTTAAACTTATTTGAAAATGATTTTTAACTTCGGCCCAACGTTTCGGATGCTTTGCAGCAGCCATGGTCACGGGGAGACGGGGCGAAGTTAAAAATCATTTCCAAATAATTTTAACTAATATATCGCGTTTTAAACCGTTAAAGTGTTTTATTTAAAAAAGTATATTCATATTATAAGATAAAAGGACTGATGATGAAGCCCTGTTCTATGAAATACGTTCCTCTCCACAGATCATAAATAAAGAACACAATACGTATTTATACAGTAACCTGTGCGATAACGAAATGGAGCACGTTCCTACATTTCTGATAACGAGTGCGACTTTCTACGCATATTAAACTCGATAAACACAACGATAAGGGAAACCTATTGTTATGAGAATTTCTAATCAAAGATCTCGATTGGAAATCAGAGCTAATTCCAATATGAATTCATCGTCTGACTTGTCGTTTCAACCTATTAATAGCTAACAAATTCGCTACGGCTCCACTTCCAAAAGAAAGAGGGTTTTAGAACATAATCCCAAGACCATCTCCTTATGATCTAGTTTCGGTTGACGAAATTCCTGAAAACAAACTAACCGTTCCAGATAAACGAAACTAAGTAGCCTAGTTAACCTACCAACACATTTCATAGCGTACTAAATAATCTAAATATACTAAAAAGAACTCAATTCAAATAATGGAAAATATTGTGTTTTAAACCGTTAAAAATTTATGATCTACATTATACTTTAAAATTATATTTCAAAATAATTATTTCTCGTTAACATAGCTGTAGTCTGACTTACATATCGGCACTGAAATCTAACTATAAAAAAATCATTATTACTCCTTTTATCGATAATGCCTCAATAAAAGTCGCAAGTGTAACCGAGCCGTATAAATCGGCAAACTAAACAATGGCTTGGGCAGTAATGTTCAACATTTCTACGCGGCAAGTTTTTTGCATTGTAAAAGTGGATATCAGTTAAATGACCACTACGCATTGGTCAGCACGTCTTCAATTCAATTGCAATGTGCTGTGTAAATCAGTTGCCAGCCTGTTGGCCGACAAATGTTATCCAGACGTGGTTGAAAACATGTGTGAGAAACGCGATCAATCTGCCTCCAGCTAGAGCGGCGATGGTGAGTCTCGTGTCTTCCCAAAATCGTAACAGCTAATGCCATCTATGTAACAGACAACGGTCGAAGGCTCAAATACATTGTATAGCGCACATAAACACACACGCATATTTTGGAACTTGTTTTATGTTTATGTGTGCGTGGCTTTATCGTTTACGAATGTTCGTGATGCAATAAAAACAATTGAAAAGCTTCAGCCCACCGCCGCAGGGTGGCGCTGTTTAAAAGGTTCTATTGCGGGTTAAGTTTACTCGTGGGCCGTGTTACGGCGCTAGTGTGCTTTGTTGTAATATTGCAAAACTTTGTTCATTACCGTTTCGTGTTTGTTAAGAATTTAAGTTAAATATTGCTGTCGGATAAACTTAGCATTTCAAATTATGTTATGTGTAGATATTGCAATAAAGTTTTTCATACATACAACAGTCTCATACTATATACCTAATAGGTATACCTATTTAGGTACACTTATTACGTAATAACTAATGTGATAATAAAGTAATTATTTCTATCTAGGAGATAGATAATACCTAGTAATTAGATTCAACCTCGACCTCAATCGATAATGCACATACCTTATCATATGCAACTTGGGTGGTTAACTATATCTTCCGTGGTATGTGTAAGAGCGATTCTGCCACCCAGTTAACCCATACATAACTCACGAGCATGCATGCGTGCATAATTGATGACTGCAGAGGAAGCCGTCTTATTGCGTTTACTTCACACATTTAAGAATATATGAGGTGTAAAAATATTTCACTTACATTTAAAATGCTAACTATTTGGAATAGAAATTTAGAAATCAAAATAAAAGAATTTTAAAAAGAAATACATTTATTTACAAATAATAGTTGACCAAACTTTCTTACAAACATTGTATTAAGCGCTAGAGCTCCCGGGTACCTATTTCAGTAGTATTGGGTATATGGGTATTTAAAAAAAATAGAATGTTATTACGCATTTAAAAATTTACGGCTTTTACTTTGTTTCATCTATATAGACTTTCATTTTAAGTTGCAACAATCAGATATAATTAATTAGGTATTAGATCCCCTAGCTTTTTGACTTCCTGTAGTAAAATCACTCATTTCTTATAACACCTAGTTTGTGAAAATTGCATACCTCGCCAGAAGTACCCAGCTTGACTTATTTAAAAATTACCTCGGTGAGGGTTCACGCACACAGGCCACTGGCATTAACTATCGCAGACACATTCTCTATTTTTTCAATTTGTGAGTGTAGGTATACCTACCATGCATGCAAATCTCCATGCTAGGTATATAGGTACGGTCCCACACACAACCCAACGACACGTGTTAATGCCAATTAACACGTCGTCGTTGTAGAATTGCAATTAATAGAACATATTGTGATTCATTAACAAAATTAATTTGGCTCATAGTTCCAAATTTATACCCTTGTTGCACACAGTCATCAAATGTCCGAATAATTTGCAAAAAAAAAATTTTCGCTATCCTATTTTTGGTCAACAAATCGCAAACGTTGCATAAATACATACAGTGGCTACATTTAGTGGCTTTATCAGGCGGCCTGTGTGCGGTAAAGCTTAGATGGCGTCAAAAGTTCAAGTTTTGCTATCGGGTGGCGAGTGCCGCCTGCCCCCACTCATCTAACTTCAGCCATTACTGGGGTCTTCCATTCGTTCCAATTTCAAATTTGAAGCTGATGCCACGATATATGACACCACAGCTTTGTCGAGAGCATCTTGGACTAAACAATGAAGATTAACTTGTGTACCGTGGGCTGTTGCGGATTCCACATATAATATATTATATATTTAAGGACCTATTTAAAAGATCTGTGATAATATTTATTTTAATATACTAATTCTTCCATCCTTTTATAGTATTACTTAAATTTAAAATTAAAACTTAAAACATAAACTCATTAAGCTTATTCCTCATATATTCATTAGTATATCCAACATCAATGGATAATATACAACGTCCAAGAATTTTATGCAAAATGTATCTACAACAACCATTAACAAAAATCGTACTGACTAATTATAATTTATTTTATCACTTTTGGCCCTGCTCAACTATTATGTTTACTGACTTTTTAATACATTTAAGTACCTATTATTACTTTCGACTTATTTAAAATGACGATATTCGTTCGTCGTAGCGATTGTTATAGCTTCATTTTCCAGGTGCAGTTTAACGATTATAGGTGCAAAGCTATTCATAAAAATAATTTCATAGACTTGCAGAGCACGTCCTTTCGTTATTTTCGAGTAGCCAATTCCGCCGTCTACACTGCCAAGTTGAACCCCTTGTTCAATTCACAACGATTCCCTTTCATAGAAGCGAAATAATACTACGTATGGAAATAATGTTTATTTTTAAAATTTAAAAATTTGGTACCATTTATTATTATTAATATAAAGTTGTATTTTGTGGCTTAAAGTAACAAAACAAAACTTTGTGTAATTAGATACAAGGTCTATTGGTAATCCTCTAAAATTGTCTTCATTTAAATATCTAATAATTCGCACTAATTAAATACAGGTTCTCTCTTAGGCATATAATTTTGAGATTTTATAATACATACCTAAACATTATACATGTCTATGTATTTATTACTTATTGAAGACCTTCTTGAATCGCCTTTTTGTAACAAGTCAATTATCTTATATATCTTCAACAGATAGAATAATTAAAATATACCTTATAAATAATTGTCAAGATGTTATCTCGTGAAATTATTTCGTTGTTTATGAAGTCGAGACGCTACCTACATAAGGCTATTAATTCGAACCGGTACTCGGCACCGGTATCGGTACAATTCAAGTAACGGGACCTATAGACTTTATGATAATCATGTTAAGATCACACCGACGGTAGCAACTATATTATGGCAATTCATGTATCGCCTCTTTAGGTAAAGGGCAAAAATGTAGACTAGGTATTATGTTTCACTTTAAATGTAGGTAGGTGCAGTAAATAGGTACATTTCACTCATTATATTTTACAATTTAACGGTATTTTACCAATACATATTTAAATGATCTAATCATTAAAACTATAGTGGGTTTACATGTAACACATACACTAACATGCTTCTGTTTTAAAAACTGGAAACATACAGCTAATTAAATATGCCTCACTAGAAGAGTTTTGCACAAGTGTCTGAAAATTAAACTAATATTGTTATTATGAATCTTTAACACATTAAATCCTTTAATATATAAATAATAATAATTATAAATTTGCTAATAATAATTAAGGGAATTTGTTCAATATATTATGATTAAACGTATATTTTTCGTCATTTATAAAAAATAAAAAAGAAATATGTAACTTTATAAACCAATGTAATAAGGAAAAATATCCAGTAGAAGGAACTAGAGTCCTTGTTAAGTAATGGATCTATTTACGTGTGACAATATCTCAATGCGGTAATATGGAAGCTGTTTCGATAGCGCAGTGAATACGAAGGCAATAGGGGTGATATAGAGGCGACAGGCACCCAATTTGTTCCGCCTTCGCTGAATTACTTGGCACTGTGTGTATTGTGTTTCTAAGATATAGGGCGATGTAAACATTTTTCGTATAGATCACTGTTTGTGTACTTTTTTTCCTGCATGTGTTCTAGAAATGAAAAAAAAAATCCGATAAAATATTTTTATTGAATTCAGAATTAATTAAACAATAAAATTAACCTATGTGTAAAAACTGTCTATAGTTACGCGAGTAGTAGCACATTTAAATAAAACACTTTAACGGTTTAAAACGCGATATATTAGTTAAACTTATTTGAAAATGATTTTTAACTTCGGCCCGACGTTTCGGATGCTTTGAGCAGCCGTGGTCACGGGGAGTCTCCCGTGACCACGGCTGCTAATATATCGCTAACTAATATATCGCATTTTAAACCGTTAAAGTTTTTATTTAAATAACCTATGTGTTGTATTTAGAGAACTGCTTTAGGAGGCGTTGTGAAACGTAAACAAATACGGAAAGTAATTAATCTAAATAAGTTTATTACCGCAATTTCAGTCCGTAATTGTAAAGAATTATTCTCTTAAATACGTACCGCCTTCAGCTACCGAGAAATTTACTAATTTGCGAAGCTTCATTGATAGCCGCGCAATTAAATGTAAAATTATTTGTTATTCCTTCATTGTTTAAGGGTCGTATCGGGTAAAACACCAATTTGTATTCCGCCAACGTAAACTTTACTACTTAACATATACTGAAAACGAAAGAATACCGAATAATTCCAATAGCGAGTGACTGCATCGATAAACTCTTTCATTTAATTAAAACGATTCGAGTCAAGTCGACACGAGTTTTGGCATAAACAACTCCATGCAACTATGTTATGCCCAGATGTTGCATGTCTCTTAGAACAAGATGTGTTCTGTCCTAGTAATCTTATAAGTTTTATTTTGTTTTCAGCGTTCAGATCTAGTACTTTATTTCAGTTGTTTACGATATGGTTTTTCATTTGTTTTATATAAAATTGTTGTTTTTAGATCCTATAGACATCCATGTTTGCAAATCGAAGTAGAATCCATACTTTTAAGTAGAACATTTTTAAGCACTAACTGCACCTACTTAATAAAAGTTACTAAATTTTCCATTTCATCCCAAACTAAGCTTTTCTATTTCTTACTTAGCATGTATAAATATCCATAAAAAATTAGGACATCTTACATTTAATACGCGGATCATCTCATACAGAGCCTTTCCCTTGCCAAATAGATTTTCATATTCATATTCATTTTGTTCAATGCTGACGCTAGATCTATAAATCTTAGCTTCATGTCAAATATATGTGTAGTATGCTAAAATGTAATAACTTTGTTTACTTTCTTCAAAACTTACTCAGATTCTAGAAATGTTATTTTTGTATAAAATGTATATTTAAGATAAACAATGCAAATTAAAAAAGAAATACTTTTTGCAAAAATTAACGACGTTTACAGCAATTTCAGTTACAACATTGATATCTAATCGAATTAAGTTACTGATTTCATCTGATTGCATATTCAGTTCAGTTGTTGGTGAATAAGAATATTTTTTGCTGCCTATTTAGTTATTGCACATGTAGCTGAATATAGCTATAAAATATCTTAAAATATTATTAACAACTTTAACAAAATCTTACATAAAAACTGCATGATATGAATAACCTTCAACTTAACCTAAATTGAAGATTATTCATAAACGGGGTTAATAAACAAAATAGATATATTTTAGAATATGTATTGAGATCAGAACGGGTAAACATCCTAGGGGGGCGGGTATATTCATGAAATTTTTCGTGATGCCACGGAAGGCTCATGCAAAATGTATAAAGGCGAGTCGGTTCTTCCTGAAATTTGTATTAGAGGGGAAATAGTTCGCGTCCCTTTTGCTGACAAAATATCATACTTTCTTCAGCGTATATTGAACTGCGGAGCTTACGCCGAAATGGAATACGTAAACAAGAAACTTTGTTCCTAATCTGCTTCCTCGTCTAATACTGGCTATTTTATGAAAATATTTTGTCTGAAGCTTTAAAATAGAGCATTTTTACGCTATAAAAAGTTCTTATAAAAACAACTTCTTTACCTGTATCGTCAGAGATTTTATTGTACAATTTAAGATGAAAGGATTATGTTTTTGTTGAAAGGGAAAGTGGTTCTATGAGCTTTTTACTTTCAAAACAATCAAACAGAAGCGATTTTACGACGGCGTGTTTTGCTTCCTCGTATTGTTAGAATGGCGTTATTTATTAGAGTTATAAATGCACCTTTAAGTAAAAAAAAATAGACAAATTAAACTAAGTGTAGTGTAGGTATTCGGCGAGATAAGGTTATATGAGAGTTTTACCTTTTTGTTTTATCTGTTGAAGTAAATGCAATGAGAAAAGTTACTAACACAGTGCTCATACCTAACTATAATTGCCTCCCCGGGCAAAATCGTGTATCCAGCAGGTAAATGCAAATACTTGAAACTTACGCTCAGATAAAAGTGCTTTTGTCTGCGTCGAGATAGTAAAACATTGTGCAGAATTCTCCCAAAAAATATAACAAGATAAAAAGACAATGTTAACTTAAGCTTAAATTATTAAAAGAGTACTTAAATTTAAAGATTTAATTATTTAAGCTTTAATAATTAGATTAGGGATCACTTTAACAAACTTTAAAATTTCACATTATTTTAAAACAAACGAAAAACTTTTGTAACTAATGAGATTTACTCTATTTAGGAGTGTACGTACCTACTTAGGGAGTTAATATATCGAAAGCGTCGGAAGAAATTCATTGGCTTACTCTTTCTATGGTCTTAATTTATAGTAGATATGTTAAATCCCGCGTCGCGCTATGGACGAAAATATTTCTGTGTCCGTTTCACGAGTTAAATTTACAGGTAAGTTAGGCAAGCTTCTGGGCTGTGCTCTAATAAAATTATTTTTTGTTTCGTTGGTATTCGAAGTTCGGTCCTAAGACCCATTATGCTTAACGCAATGTTAGACAATAATCACTAAAAATTTAATAGTTAAAATTTTTACTTAGATATAGAATAAACTCCCATTTTTCGTGCCTGACTTTACACTCCACTCAATTGCCTACGCATTACAACTATTTATTAACTTAAAAACTCAAGAAGAAGCAACATCTCTTTCTCAGTGTAAAAAATATATAGATACAGGCGTCGCATTGTCTCTGAATTTATTAATAGACAGTAATCCAATGAAAGACAGCCGAATTAAGAATATACTCCCCCAATCGAATG